AAGAACAGTACAATGAAGGCTAAGTAATTTCCATAAGAATAATGAGCCTCACTCACTGTTGGTGGAAGTGTAAAATGGTACAACCACTTTGGATTGCTGTATGGCGCTTTCTCAGAAGATTGCAAATAGAAATACCATTTAAGCCAGCAATTCCATAACCACTACCCAAGCCGATATATGCACACCCATGTTTTTGTGGCTTAGTAATAGTAATAGTAATAGTAATAGTAATAGTAATAGTAATAGTAATAGTAATAGCAATAGCAATAGCAATAGTAAAGAGCTGGAAACAACCCAAATGCCCATCAACAAATGAATGGATAGAGAAGCTCGGGTATGTTCACACGATGGAATACTATGCAGCACTCAAAAACAAGGAACTTGTCGCAGTCTGTTCACTGGCAATTTAACAAGCCACCCTAATGGATGTAGGCACAACAGAGATACACCACTCCAGGAGAGGATCACAGAGTCAATCCAGCTCAATTTTATTGGGACTGCAGTGCACTTATATTTAAGCATGTAAATAGGAAGACAGGATAGGGTGGGCTTAGAGACTTGATACATAGGATTGATAGTAGAACCTCAGCCTCGGGCAGACTGCTCACAGCTCAACAGATGCAGCAGCTGTCTTCCCAGGTGGCGAGCTTTCTCAAGCAGGTACAGCCAAACACAGGAGCTTTCTCTACCCCGTATTAAAGGATATTGGGAGGCTTGCACTTATCAGGCGCTTAGGCGATCTGTCCTAGCCAGAGGCCTTCCCTTCCTTCCCAACATTATCCAACAGGAACTCATGAAATATTATGCTAAGTGGATGACCCTATAGGACATTATGCTGAGGGAGATATCTCAGTCACAAAAGGACAAATATTATAATGTAATACCTATTTTATGTTTATCTTACCACTAAAAGTGTTGGTGATATGAGTGTTTAATAGCTGATATCCAGAGTACGTGAATGCCAGCACACTCCTCCAGATATATATTTGAAATACATATGGTTTTAAATAAAGATAGATCCAAAGGGTCATGGTATAGATTATGCAGAACACTTTTTCTGTTTATAATAAACTTTGATAGAAGACAAAAACATGTCAGATAGAATATAAAACCACTGCCAAGCTCAGTAATTATTATAGGTAATATACATCTGGGGTATTTAACATATAAGTTAAGTGAAAACTATCCTTCTGAAGCACGATGCCTAGAACGTTCTCTATTCATATCTCTTCATTCCTCTACATACAAAGAAAAGAGTCATATTTGTATCAAAGACATAAGAAAGTAACTGGAAAAAGACAGCATTCAACTGACTGTCATTATTATCCAATTGATTTGTTGTCATTACATGCATTTGAGTTTGAGTCACCAGTGATTCAGAACCCGGTGACCCAATTGAGGTGAGGCTAGCTATCAGAGAGAAAACATGAAACATGAATGCCTTAAAGATGATTTTCTAACATCTCAGAATCAAGCCAAGGAGAAAGGAATGTGAGAAAGGTCCAAGAGTGAAATCCAAGGCCACGAAGAATGTTGTTTGTTCCATATCTCTTCCTTTGGTGGTTGTCAGGTATCCAGTTTTTGGTATACCAGGTAGGCAGTTATCAGGTTTATTTGCTAATTGTTCGTTCTTCAAATAATGTATTAGTTTTTTCACATTAGAGTGACTTGACATGGTGTTTAGTCCCTGGAATAAGAGTCAACAGCTAGCAAATCAATCAGGTTAACGAACTTGGCACCGGCAACTTTTGTTGTCATCCTAAACTTAAACAATGTGTGTGATCTCACCCACGGTCTGCCCCTTGCCTAGTTTTGACAGCTGGTATTGAGCTTCTCCAATGATTTCTTCCACAAATGTAGTCAGTCTTACTCTTATGCAGCGTTATCAGGTCAGATCCATGTGTAAAGTTGTTATCTATTTTAAAATAGATAAATAAATAAATTAATTTGCAGTAAATAAATAAATAGATAAATAAATAATTTGCAGTAAATAAATCATTGTAAATACAAAATCCAACCATTCTATTTTCAGCCTCATTTCTATCACCAAGCCCATATTTTCCAACTACTGTTCCTTCTTCATGGTTTCCTACTTTTGCATCCCAGTCACCCGTTAGCATTAACTTATCTTGACTGCATGTTTGGTCAATTTCATACTGCAAGATCTGGTAAAAATTCTCAATTTCTTTCTCTCTCTGTCTCTAGATGTAGGAGGATGTATTTCAATAATAGTCGTGTTAACAGGTCTTCCTTGTATTTGTATGGATATTATCGTATCACTCACAAGATTGTATTTCAGGATGTAACTTGAAGTTGACTTTTTAATTATGAGTACACCACCATTCTTGTTTGTTTTTCAATTCCTGCATGGTATATCATATTATCATCTGATTCAAAGTCAGCCAAAGCTGGTCCATCTCATCTCATGAATGCCTAGTATGTCAATATTCATGCATTCCATTTCACTTTTAACAATTTCCAGCTTTCCAACATACATGGTATGCACATCCCTTGTACTATGCTAGGAAATTTGGAGGACAACTGTCTGGCCAGTGGATTGGAAGAGATTCCCATTTCCAAGACAGATGATCCAACTGAATGTGGAAACTGTCAAACAATACCATTAATATCACATGCAAGCAAAATACTACTGAAGATCATTAAAAAATGGCTAGAACAGTACATAGGAAACTGCCAGAAGTTTAAGCAGAATTTAGAAGTGGCTGTTGCACCAGGAATATCATTATTGATCTCAGATGAATCCTGGCTGAAAGTAAGGAATACCAGAAGAATGTCTATTTGTGATTTATTGACTATGCAAAGGCATTTGACTGTATGGAAGTTTTGGCTGCTTTTGTGAAGAGTGGGAATCCCAGAGCACTTAAATGTGTTCATGCGGAACTTATACCTGGACCAGGCAGCTATTGTGTGAACACAGCAGGGGAACACTGCATGATTTAAAATTGAGAAGCGAGTACGGCAATGTTGTATTCTCTTTCCGTACCTACTCAATCTGTATGCTGAGCAAATTATTCAAGAAGCTTGACTCTGTGAAGAGGAGTGTGGCATCAGGATTGGAGGGAGATTAATCAATAACCTGGGTTATGCAGATGGCTCAACCTTTCATTGCTAAAAGTGAGGAGAACTTGAAGCACTTATTGCAGAAGATTGAGGAATGCAGCCTTGTGTGTGGATTACATCTCAGTATCACCAAAACAAAGATTCTTATCATTGAACTGATAGGCAGTATCATTATTGGTGGAGATGAAATTTAAACTCTCAACAGCTTCATCTTGCTTGGATCCACAAATAACACCCTAGGTACAAGCAGTCAGGAACTATCTGCAGTTAGGGACCTCTCCGAATAATCGAGGAATAATGGTGTCAGTTTGAGAACTAAGGTGCGTCTGATACAGGCCATAATCTTTCTGATCACTTGCTATACTTCTGAGAGCTACAGTGAATAAGGATGACAGGAAAAATAATTGCTTCCTTTGAGCGGTGGTGTTGGAGAAGAGCACTGAAACATGTCTTAGAAAGGTGCAGCCGGAGTGTTCTTTGGAGGCAAGAATGATGAGGCTTCACCTCACATACTTTGGGCATGTTGCTAAGAGGTGCTATTCTTTGAAGAAGAACATGATGCTGGGAAAGGTGGAGGGGTCAACAAAGGAGAGAAAGACTTTCTGTGAGGTGGATTGACATTGGTGACTGACTGCTGCAGTGGGGTCTTGTGTGTCAGAAAATGTGAGGATGGCACAGGATAAAACAAGGTTCAGATCTTTTGTTTATAAGGTTGCTATGAATCATACTCAACTCTATGGTACCTAACAACAAACTTAGACAACTATTTACTAGCATCCTGAACTTGAGCAGTTATGTTTGAACTTCTGACATCAAGAATGCTTCTTTTTATTTTGAGGGTTATCCGGGTCCAGACTATCTGATCATTTAAATTTATATTTTAGTTTTAGCATCACCTCATTGCACTGGTCAAGTCTGCTGTCAGTGACCTCTCCAAATTATTGAGGAGCAATGATGTCAGTTTGAGGACTAAAATGCACCTGATTCAAGTCACTTATGATCTTTTCAGTGACTTGCTATCCCAAATGAGCAAGCATCTGTCTTGGGAGAAAGTGTAGCCAGAATGCTCCTGGGAAGCAAAGATGATAAAGCTTCTCTCACATACTTTGGGTATGCTGCGAGGAGAGATTATTTCTTGGAGGAGGAACATTATGCTTGGAAAGGTTGAGGGATGGTCAAGAAAGGAAGGCCCTCAACAAGGTATATTGACACAGTGATTGTAACAATGGGCTTGTGTATATCAGAAATTGTGAGGATGGCACAGGATAGGACAGGGTTCAAATCTGTTTTTCATAGTGTCACTGTGAGACATACCCAACTTTACAGCACATAACAACAGCAGTCAGTGTTAAAGTTCCGGTGGCATAATCCATAATCAGTTTTGCTGCTGACCTCAATATGGTGCCTCTCTGGCAGTTCAAATCTGTTAGCTTTTTGGGGGGAGAAAAATGAATACCCTCTTCTCTTGTGATTTACAACTTCTGAACGCCAGTGGAAAATCAGCTGTGAAACTGTTCCCAGTCAACAGTAGTAAATTTGATTGAGTCACTGTGTTTGTGGGTGGGGGTATCTCTCACTGTCACACACACAATGAGGAAATGAAAATAAGGCAAAAGGATAAATGATGAAATTTTACATTAAAAAAATTAATAATTGTTATACTAGACTGCTTTATGTTAAATTAACTGGAATTAGATAACTCATATAAGCTAGTTTTAAAATAGAGATTGCAGTTTTTAGCAGTTCATTTTTTGTGACTAACATATTCATTCATAAAATATAACCAAATTGCAAATTTTGATTGTGTTTTTTATTAAATTTTTACTTTTGGAATTTACTCCTACTTAATAAACAGTAATGTAACGTAAGAAGTAAATATAATTTAAATGGTGTGTTTTGTTTTGTTTTTATTTATACAGTATACTTTTTGGAACTTCATACCCAAGAATTTATTTGAACAGTTCAGAAGAATAGCCAACTTTTATTTTCTTATCATATTTCTGGTACAGGTAAGTCTGATCATTTTTTTTCTGTTCTCATTAAATTGTCTTTTGCAATCACATGTAATATAAATTAATAAATGATGTTTTACTTTCGTGAAATTGACATAGATCCTCTATTCACATTTCTTTTTTATATAATTCAATTTTTTTAAAGGTACATTTTTATTATGAGACTCGTATGCATTAAAAGTACAAACAATCACTTTAAATTGGTCATCACCTTTCTACCATCATCCTTTTTTTAAACTTTTTTTTTAAGTCTAGTTTTCTGGTTGAACCCCTGAGGTTATGACCTTTAAAAATTTTTATTTGAATGAATTTTTACAAATCCTTTTAAGTTTTTTAATCAATCCTTCATCCTCACAGTCTTTGCTATGTTTGAGCCAATTTATACGCACTGTATCACTCCATCTCTTAGAATCTTTCCTCATTCTTTTCAGTATTCATTGCCACTGTTGTATTTTCATGACCTATTGACTATTCTTTGCAAACACCATAATAAAATATGTCAGTTCTTTGTCTTTCCTTATTCACTGTCTACCTTTCATATGCATATGAAACATTTGAAAAGACCATGGCTTGGGTCATGTGCATCTTAGTCTTCAAATAGGCATCTTCCATTTTTAACATTGAATAAAGATCTTTTGTGGCTGATTTGCACAGAGGAGTGCGCATCACTTTATTTCTTTATTATTACTTTTCTGGACCTTGATTATGGATCCAGGTAAAATGAAATCCTTAATCACTTTGGTCTTTTCTCCCTTTATCATAATGTTATGCATTGGTCTAGTTGTGAGGATGTTTGTTTCCTTCAAATCGAGTTGAATCCATATTGAAGGTTGTAGTTTTTGATCTGCATCAGTGTAAGTATTCCAAGTCCTCTGCTTTCAGCAAACAAGATTGTCTTGTGTACATATCATAAGTTGTTAACGTGTCTTCCTCCGATTGCAATGTCAGCTTCTTCCTTATATAATCCAGTTTTTTTAGTTATTAACTCAGTATAGAGATTGAATCAGTTTGATAAGTATGGCTGTGCTTGGATAAAGAGAACCCAGCCTAAGACAGTAAATGTGGTGAAAAAATACAGCCTTGATGTGCACCTTTTCTGATCTTAAGTCACACATTATCCCCTCGTTTTGTTTGAGGGACTACCTTGAACACAACTAAATGCTCTGGAATTCTCATGCTGTATTGTTATCTTTAATTTGTTAATAATTCACATGACAAAATGTATTATCAACACAACTGTTATGAAAATATTTTAAAATGAGTAAATGCAAATGGTAAATTGCATGTATATTACATGAAAGACCAGTCTGTCTAAAGTTACTCATAGGTATTTTTATATACAATTCTCTTTTAATTGCAGTTGATTATTGATACACCCACAAGCCCCGTAACAAGTGGACTTCCACTGTTCTTTGTTATTATTGTCACAGCTATCAAACAGGTAAGAAATGTAAAAATAAAAAGGATGACAGTCATAGACTTTATTATGTGCCTTTTGCCTTTTATTCCAAGCAAGACAATCTGGTTTATGTTAGCTATTTAATAGAAACTTTTAGTTCTGGAAATTCAGTTTGAGAACTCTCTTCAGTTAATAACTTGATTTGAGTTGAAAGCAAGAGAAATTGTTTCAAGAAGCTAATTTATTGCCCTTTGAATTGAAGAAGAAATGTCACATTCCTTCTTCAGTTCAAAAACGTGTACGAGAATTTCATATTCTTGAATCAACCACAGATGATCTCTGATTTTAGATGAGTATGTGCCTTAGTCCCTCTTGAATAGAAGAAAACAATACTTTTCAGGAAAAAAATATAGGAATATAAAGTTAATATATGCTAATTTCTTCCAACTTATTTTTTTTTCAAATATAGATCCAGCTTTTAGTCCTGATATGAGTAAAACTAGTAACATTAAGAATTAATTAAAATAAAAGAATTAATTAAGACATTAAGAATAATATATCAAAGTAACTTGTTATTTACTTAACCAGTTAAATTTCACATCCACAGAGGTTGTCATTTTTTGTGTATTGTGAGTTTAAGAGCTCTCTCCTGATCTAGCAACAGTGCCTGGAGACCTACCATAAAAAAAACCTCCAAATGTGAAAATAATTTGGGGAAGCACCATTTTATTAATAACATGGATTTGTTTCTTTAAGGGTTATGAAGACTGGCTTCGCCATAAAGCAGACAATGCAATGAACCAGTGTCCTGTTCATTTCATTCAGCACGGCAAGCTTGTTAGAAAGCAAAGTCGAAAACTAAGAGTAAGTGACAACTAATATATTTAATTTGCTTAATAACTAGTTTTTTTTCTTTGGCAAACAAGCGGGAATTTTGAAATTGTTAAGAAATTATATCAGCCAATCACAAAAAATAAGCCCTAAAATCAATGTTAGAAAATAAATTTTCAAGTAAGGTAAAATAATATAAACTACATTTGTGGGAAGCTCTCCTTGCCAGAAGGCAGGAGCGTGGTGGTGGGAGTGCAGGAATCGTGGCAAGCTTTTGGAGTGGACTGCTTTTCCGGGAATGTGTTTGACGTGCAGGTTTGCTCTGTCCCTGGAGTGAGGCTAGCCAGCCTGGGCCTAGGGTTTGAACCAGGAGGCGGCCTTAAGCCCAAAGGTTCAAATTGTCTTCCTGTCAAACATTTTTCTAGGTGGTATAGCACTGGTCTGTGAGTTGCTGTACAGAGGTAACTCGTGGGTGCTGTGATGCTGAAGCCTGTGACAGTGATGTGCTAATCGTGGTAATGGGCACCCATGGTGGACAGTGTTGGCTGGAGCTTCCCGACTAAATCAAGCCTGGAAGCAGGAGCGGCATCCACTTCCAAAATGGCTTGCCTCTGGAAACTCTCTGTACGAACAGTGCTCAGGCTTTTAGTTGTTAGTATAGGTTTGGCAAAAATTTATTAAAATAATTGAAAGGTATTTAAGCATACAATGTTATAATTTTATTTTTAAAAATCCATAAAAATATTAAAATGAAACTTTCAATAAGGTTTCTATTTCAATTTTAATATTAATAGTTCTATTTTGGAGAGGGTGAAACCAAGTTTCTCCTTGGAAGTGAGGATTTCTATTCACCATACTTTGGCCATGTGGCCAGGAGGGATTAGTCCTCAGTGAAGGATAATAAATACATGTAGATAATATATATATGATTAATGAATATGATTTTTAGGATTTGTCTCCCAAATAATACTTAACAATATATTTTAGTTCATCAACTATCTGTGAACTTACTTGTCAAGCTCCAAGCAATCTTCTTTACCTTAAGCCCACCACTCTGCCAAATATCTCATACTCTTATATACCATTTTTTTTCTCACTTTTCTTGTAGTGACTGCTTTCCTGATAAAAAATTGTTTCAAGAGAAATTAAGAAATTCTAATAAGGGAGCACCACTAGCTCTGTTGTTACTATTCATTGTTGTCAAGTCGGGACTGAATCATCGCTCATCCTTTATAATTTTTTTCAGAGTCTATAAGTTGTATGAGAGGAGATTGCCCATCTTTCTCCTGTGGAGCAGGTAGTGGATTTGAACTGTCTGCCTTAAAGTGGGCAGCACAACTCCTTATCCACTAGGCTACTTGGGCTCCCTCTGCTAATTGTAGTGTTCATTTATCTTCATTTTGTCTTCAAAACCTGAAACTCTGTTTCTAGGTAACATCTGTGAATTAGTGAGGATGGAAGAAGGATCCTCTAGACAGTTCATGATCAGTGGATATCTCTGACCAGAAGTCACAAAGAAGTACATAATCCAGGAGATTAATGACTCACTAATGAGGTCCTTTCACATATGCCCTTTCCATGTCCTATAGACATACCAAATCCGTATCTAGTTCGTATTTATTATTGTAGTTTCAGTTATTAAATATATTTTATATTTTCTTAAATTATTATAGTAAGTTTACATAACATTTATTTTGTTATAAATTTTATTATCTACATGTATTAGCCACACTTTCCTTCAGTTGATTCAGATTGATGTAATCCTGTGGTAATTCATTGCCCTTGAGGAGCATTTTCCTACATCTTGTAGTCAAAGAGGTGAGAAACTAGGAGATGGGATACATGACCATCTGAGCACCAGGTTGGGGTACCATAGGCATTATTATCAGCAATAGCTTTCAGATCCAAATCTCTACCAGGTTTTTCAGCAGTCTTCTTCAATGATTTAATTTTCTTTACAAAGTCTTCTGTATTTTTAGATACACATCTCTTTCTTGAAAAGCAGACTTAAAAAAGAAAGTCAGCCAATAGAAAATGCAATCTTTATAATAATACGCTCTTCTTGGAAATAACTGCTCTTGTATTCTGTGCACTCTAAATAAGATTTTAAATTATTATGAGAAGAAAAAGAAAAGAAGGTTTTTCTAAAAACTCTAGGCATCTGACTGTCATCAGCTGTAATAACTCTTTAGAAGGTGCTAGAGGCATTTTTAAAATCACCTTTTTTCCTTTTAAGTGAAACTTTTGAGCTCATTATAGTTTTCCATGCTGTATAAGAAATAGTACAGGTACCATCTGTGTACCCTTTCTTTCCAAGTATATAAAACTATAGTATAATACGGAAACCAGTCATGTCCTATATCTTGAGTAGGATCCATCAATCTTCTCCAGTATCACTGGTTTTGCATGTCTTTTTAGTTGTCTGTTTGTGTATTCTATGCAATTTCATCATCCATGTTGTTGTTGTTGTTGTGTGCCATTGAGTCGCCTTTGACTCATAGCGACCCTATGTACAACAGCCCTAAACTCCGCTCTGTTCTGTGCCAGTCGCACTG